CTTTCACAATAGCATTGAAAATAATAAAATAATTTGGAATCAATCTAACAAGGAAGTAAAAGACCTTTACATTAAAACCACAGTACTCTGAGAAAAGATCAGAGAGGACATCAGAAAATGGAAAGTATCCCTTATTCTTGATTAGGAATAAGCCGTATATAAAAATGATCATGCTTCCAAAATTGCTCTACACATTTAATGCAATCCCAGGCAATATAACAAAGCATACTTTACATAATTAGAGCAAACAATACTAAAATTCTTTGGCAAAAGCAATTCTAGGCAACAAAGGCAAGGCAGGGGGCATCGCAGTCCCTGATTTGAAAGTATACTGCAAAGCTACTGTTATAAAATCAGCATGGAACTGGTAAAACTACAGACCTGAGGCTCAGTGGAACAGATTAGAACATACAGAAACAACCCCAAACACACTCAGCCACCTTATCTCTTTGACAAAGGGGCCAAACACCTTCACTGGAAGAAAGATAGCCGCTTTAATAAATGGTGCTGGAAAAACTCTTTCCACATTCCAAAGATTAAAATGAGACCTGTTTCTCTCACCATGAATGAAACTAAAACTGAAACAGATCAAAGACCTAAATATTAAAACAGAAACCCTAAATTTATTGGAAGACAGAATAGGCACAATTCTTAAAGATATAGAAGTAGCCAAAGACTTTATGCACAAAATCCCAGTCAAACAAGAATTAATACAAAAAAAAAACAAAAAACAGGATCTCACTGAGGAGCTTTTGCACAGCAAAAGAAACCTCCCTTCTCTTTAGGTACTCAACTCCGTTGGGTAATTTCCCTATGTCCCTAAACATGGCAATTCAGTGCACGGCAATTCAGTCAAGGAAGCTTCTATGTGGTTTAGAGACTGATAAAAAAAATCCGATATAAAAGATTCATAATTATTCATTCCTTTCTCAACAGTAAGTTGATTCTAGTTTTTGGTGTCTAGTGATGAGCCTGGCTCTACTCTCCAGATTCATGTGGGACAGCTTAATTGCCCATTAACTCTAAAGTACCTGTTCATTTTTCGTTTTCATCTCTAACCCAGTCAGGCAACCAACTTCAGCACCAGCTCAGCATTTGATACGTGGTTTAGTTCTTTTCCTCAGAAAAATGTTTTATTTCTTAATAAGTCAGTATGTCCTTGATTTTCTCTTCTAGTAACTCAGATGTGATCATCATTTCTATGTAAGAGGTGAGGATTCAAAATGTGAACTTAAAATCTCAATTTCATATAAATATCCCTCCTGTCTCTTCTGAATGCCATTAGAATAGCTCACTTTGTGACTGCGTTACAATTATTGAATTATTTCACTACCCATAGGTGATGTAGTTTTTCTGGTTTTTGCTGTAAAAATTTTAAAAAATACGGAATATTTTGAGCACACAGAATTTGACATATGCTTGTTCTTTACATGAGTTTCTGGAATGGTCAAACATAGATTCCTTCAATGCCTGAGGAGCTATCCTCCCCATAATCCTGGCGTCACTTATTATTATTTTCTTTTGGTTTGCAATCTGAAAATGAAATTTCTGAGCTTCTTTTCCATGAGTGGTGAACTTTAAACTATCCTCCTTCGGTCGAAGGTAAGTACTTTAGGGTTAGAAGAGCTTGTGTGTTAATTGTTTCACTGTATTTTAATTTAATTTGGCTCTCATTTTCCTTTATAGGAATTATATATTAATGTGCCTATGTGTGAACACTAATAGATGGCAATTTATGTGTAAAAGAAAAGCTATTTTAAGCATGGAATGTACGTTTATTACTTTGCAAACTATTAAGAGTTCAAAGTGGCAATTAAGACATCTTTGAAAATAAGAATGAACTCTGGATTGAACATTTTGAGTAGCATGAAGCTCTTCTAGCTTGTAAAACAGAACTTAATTATAGTAAATGAAAGAGGTATCAAAGGATTAAAGATGTACACATATGTCAAACCACATATTTGTGGTTTATTTTAATGGCTCCAATTTTCAAAAGTCCGTCACAAATATGAATATATAATTATGCAGTATGACTCACCCACAATTTCATGCATTCTGGTTGGATGCAATGTACAAACCGATTAAATTACAAGCAGTTGCATGGTTAAATTATTACCTTTTACTTTCCTCTTTTTAATGAAGCATCAATTTTATCAAATTCTGTTCTTTTATTTTAAGTTTAGTTACTTGGAAACATTCTTTCTCATAGTACTCAGATTTAAACCCAGGGCTCCCCAAACATTACCCGAATACTCTACCTGTGAGCTAATTCCTCAGCCTGTTTTTAAATTTTATTTCAAACAGACTCTCGGTAAGTTGCTCAGACTGAACTGGAACTTGTACTTTTCCTGCCTCAGCTAGGAGTACATAGGATTACATGCATACGTAACTACAGCTGGCAGTATGAAAATAATTCGATATAAATACCTGATAATATATTAATGACATTGTTACATATATAATCCAAATCCCAAATAAATGCAAATCAAAGTGTTTCTACTAATCTACTTATTCAAAGATAGCCAGATACATTCATCATACTTCGAATTCATCTTTAAATGGAGTCATATTCTAAGAAAGCAATTACATAAGAATTCCTTGTGAAACATTAAAGCATGGTACACTGTAAAACACTGCACTGAGAAAGCACTTAAAGCTTTGTATAAAATATTCTTCGTACTGTTGTTTAGGATTTATGTTTTTTTCTGCATATTTGGTATGTATAGAAAGTTCAAACCAGTTTTTACTGACACTGTAGCTCTTAGAAATTACATTGCCAAGGTCGGGGATATAGCTCAGCACCACAGTGCCTTGCCTGGCAAGCAGAAGGTCCTGAGTTCGATTTCCAGTACCAAAAAATAAATATATTAATTAAATGTATAATAAAATGAATCCAAACATTTTTTTTAAAATGAAATTACTTTACAATGAAGGTGTTTTGAATAGATTTTTAAATTGACTTGTAATAATTGTAAATATTTATGGGAGGTTGCACATCTCAACACAAGCACACAGTGTATAAAGATCAAATATAACTAATTAGCATATCCATTACCTCAGACATTTAGCATTTCATTGTTAGGGACACTGAACCTCCTCTTGACCAGCTATTTCCACTTACACAGTATAGTTGATTGTTGCCAGATTCTGTTATGCTGTGCTGGTGCCGAACCTTAGAAATTATTCCTCACCTCCAGTTTCACCCTTGTACGAACTCACCATCTCTGCTTAACACTTTCTCTAGTTTCTGATAATCACTACTTATGAAAAATGTTAAATAATTTAATCTTCATAGAGAAACTGCAGTCTGATTTTATGGTTCATTTTCAAATTTGCAGGGGCTGGGGATTTAGCTCAGCGGCACAGTGCCTGCCTGGCAAGCGCAAGGTTGTGAGTTCAATTCCTGGTACCAGAGAAAAACCAAAAAAAAAAAAAACAAAAACAGATCAAATTTGCTAAATTTTAATAATGTATCCAACTTGTTTAAACTCATATTTTTTCATGTCAATTTATATTTTGTTTTAATATAACATGGCCAGTTACACAATCATACACATATTGAAGATTGTTATGTGCTATATGTCAACACTTGTCCAACTAAGAAAATGCCAGAAGTCATAAGTGGGAAACATACTATATATAAAATATTACTATTAATATATATTAATATATTGTACATATATACCATCTGAATAAAATAATTGGCCCTTTGGCATTAAAATTCACTATCAAGTAAAAAATTGTTTAGGAAGTCAATAATTCATTCAACAAAAATCATATATTACTTTTTAATTAATACATATTCAAAAATCAAATTTAAAATTACATATCTTCTAAATGATATTTGGCAAGCTAAGACTTTTCATTAACTACTGAGGACTCGTGTAATTTTGAAAAATACTGTTCAAGAGATAATCATTTTAGAAACACAACTACCTCACTACAAATGGGCTTCCGGGATATTTATCTATTCATATATATTTATGCTAACTTACTTGTACTTCTTTTTTTCTTTTACTAAATGTTTCACAAAGAAGAACGTTTAACAAAAAAAGTCCTTTTTGTCTTTCTAAACACAGATCAGCCATAGCTTTTCAGTTTTTACTTACAACTGTGAGAGCGTCTCCTTTCTACCTGATTGCTGAAATAACAAAGGGAATCACTAAGAGCACATGAATAAGCGATCTGAAGACAATTTCACATCAAGGAGAAATCCAGAATTGGTTCAAGAACATACCCTGAAATCCGTAGGGAATTTTTTCTATGGGTTATTTGAATGATGATACAACTTTGCGGAGATTATACGATAGTCTATTGTATTCTGCTTTTTTTCTGTTAAATGTATCTCAAAATCTGGTACACAGAGGGAAATGATTTAGTTTAACATGCTAAATAGAACTGAATATATGTATGTTGAGAGACATAATGAAAAGTTATGATAATAAAATATTTTTAGAAAAGGTTATTCTCACCTCAGCGACTCTCATATTAAATCAAATATTTGAATGGCAACCGAAATGTCCCTAATAATGGAATCAACAAATACATGATAAAATCTAAGAAATTAGTTAAACACAGTGTATATAATACTGCCCTTCCTTCTAGGCACTTTCATTTAAAGTTTAGGATAAACGTTTTCTATAGAAAGAGAAATATTGCTTGAGGCTTCACACACTTGTCACTTTTTCGACGCTGAAATTTCAATGGTGAATCCAAATTAGCTGGTATCAGAGCTTATTTCTGCCATGCTGACTGCGAACTTCATTAAGTTAAAAGCTTCTCTTTGCCTCGTGAGTTCATGAAGAGAAATCTACAGAACTATGCCCGTCCTGTAATACTTCTCAATAGATATTAGTTATTATTACTGTTACATATAGGAGGTAAGTGAATCTACCAAAAATAAGGAAATGTTTTACAATGGGCAGACACAGATTGAGGCTAAGCCAAAGGAATTATACAGCGTGGAGTCCCAATAGTAGCTAAAGCCGGTGTCTGCGTACCTGTACTCCTACAGGAAAACTTGGTGTTGGAGTCGCATAGTCTCACGGTGCCATTGCAGCTCTTCTCGTCACTCCCGTCTTCGCAATCTTTTTCCCCATCACAGCGCCACAGGTCCGGAATGCAGTTTCCGTCCGGGTAGCATTGAAACTCGTGCCCCTTACAACCAGCAGGAGACCGGATCTCTTAATTCAAAATAAGACACAGAAAGAGAGTACAACACAGGAGAGAAATTGTGATTTTTACTTGATGATAATAATTCTTACGAATTATTCCTTTGAAAGACTTTTCTATAGGACACATGAACAAAGTTGCATATTGCTTTCTTAAAGATAAGACTTCGGTTGAATTTTTTGATGTTTCTTTGGGTAATTTTCTTTCAAATTACTGAGAAGTAAATAACCAAAGAATAATTACTTTCTGTCCTTTTTGTTTCTTTTTTTGTTTTTTTGAGACAGGGTCTCACTGTGACTTCCAGGCTGGTCTTGACCTCACTTTGTAGCCCAGGTTGGCCTTGAACTCACTATGTAGCCCAGGCTGGCCTTGAACCTACAGCAGTCCTCGTGAGTCCTGAGTCAGTCTCCTGAGTCCTGGGATTACAGGCATATGCCACCATGCTCAGCAAAAATAATTAATTTCTAGTTAATGAGGTCTTTGAAGAATTTGAAATGCAAAAATTTGACAGATAAAGAACTGAAATAATAAATGCATCTTCTTCAGTATGTAGACCTTCACTCTTAGAATCAGAACAAACACTTATATATGAGGAACTATGCAATCAAATTCAGTTCCTCAAAATTTCAATCACTCAATAATACTATTGTTCAAAACCTGGAGAGTAAAAATATAAGACAAATTCTGTAGGTAGGATAAATAAGAGTTAGGAAATATATATATATATTTAAATTATATATACATAATTACAATTACAATATTGCAATTGAATCATATGATTATAATTAACAATTTATTAAACTTTATAATAATATTTAATAAAATGAAGCATTTTCACCAATATTTTCCAATAATTTTGTAAAATAAATTTAGTATATATGATTTTTGAGACAAATTTAATGTGACAAATTAATTGTATATCTTTACTTAGAGCAGCAATAACTTCCATCTATAATTTATTCTAACAGATGTTATATACATTATTTGGACAAATTTGAGGTACATTCACGGGAGTTATCCATAGTTTGATGTGATGGTTTGGAAGAGATCTGTGATAATAATTTAAGATTAGACCCACTTACTCCAGAGTCAGTAAGATGGGTGATATTTCCAAAGCAGCTACTGAATCTGGAAAATGTTATTGTGAAGATTAAATCCTCTATCTGCAATTCATCCTTTTGACTACAAAGTATTTTGCCGTTATTTTCTATAGTATAAATAATTTAGCTCTGATTTTTTCTTTATTGAAAGACTTTCAACTGTAATCTTTGAGCTGACATGTATTGCAAAGATGCAAATGGTAGATCTGACTATTGTTTCCAAGACTCTAAAGCAGTAATACTAAATAACCAAGAAAAAAATGTCTCTATGAAGGCAAGGATAAAGGAATCATGTTAGGAGCTGCCATCACAACAAGGAAAAAAATAAGATTAGCATTTAAACATAATCACTTTTGAATACAATATCATACCAAATTTACAGTGAAGATATTGAGTCCTGGCTGGCTTTAAAGTCACTTTCTAAAACAGAGATTTTATTTTTCCATTTTTGTATCCATCCAAATTATTCTCACTTTGAATATTGTTATAATTTTGAAAATTTCTTTTTTTTTTGAAGCAAGGTCTCACTATGTAGACCTTGAACTTGTGGCAATCTTCCTTGCCAGCATTCCAAGTGCTGGGATTACAGTTATGTGCCACCACGTCCGCCTAATGAAAGAAAATTCTTGCTGTGAATGTATGCCGTAAATAAAGATGATAAAGGCTATGTATACATGGAAAACATATATGGAAAATGTTGTGGCAATTTCCTACCATATTTAATTTAGTATTTGCAGAGTTACTTATATTAAAAGAAAGATTACTTGCTTCATTTATAAATAACTAGTTTTGGACTTCATATACAAGACACTGGAGAGCTTTTGAAGTAAGGATCTAACTTGAAAAGAAAAGTCTGTATGATTTTCGAGTTCATGAAGAAGACAAATCACATGGACTTCAAGGCCCACTTAGCTCTGTAGGTGAAGAGGCCTCACTGGTGAAGACAACTTGTATGCAACAGTGAAACGGTCTTTCATTCTTTCTTTGACTACTACACTTTTCCTGAAAACCAAACCTCACTTTGGTTTAGCTAAATTTTATAATCCCAGTATAAGTGCCACCAACAACACTTGAAAGTTGCATTTGAAGTAATTGTCACATAATGATTGAAAATATTTAGCAAAGTATAGAAGTTGTAATCTATTGATTTTGTGCATTCTAAAATAAAAGTCGATATATGGCAGCTTATATATTAAATCTATAAATCAATATGCTTAATGTGCCATTAAACTATTGGACTTTTAAAAATTTGATACTTTTTGTTAAAAAAATATAGACTCCAGTACTGTGATATGTAGGACAAGTCTTGATCTGGCCACTTTGCAGGGTGCCACATACTCTGCATGAATGGAAATGAATTATGTCACTAGTTCACTATTATAAAAATTGCATATACTCATCTCTTTCTTGTGTGTTTTTACTTAAACATTGTGTTATTCTTGTTTTGGTGTTTTCTTTTTCTTTTTTTTGAAACTGTCTGCATGTTTTTATTGCTTTTTCCCAAGCAAATGTTTATCCTGGTAGGATGGGGGGATGAGCGGGAAGAAAGTGATAACGCAAGTTCTTATGTTTTAAAAATCTACCTCCCCAAAACTTTTTTAAAAAGTCATTGTGCACATCTCAATAGTAATACTAATTTTATTATCTCCCTCAAATTTGTTTTCTTTTGCATGAATTCTTTTTATTTATTTTATTTTTATTTATTTGAACAATCCTGAATCTAGTCGTGTTACTTTACACCAGTTTCTTAGATCTTAGAGGTAAATTTATGAAACCTTTTTATGACATGAATTTATTTGAATTTGTTTGAAACAGTCTCAGCCTCAGCTTTTCTTAAACTGCAAACCCTTATTCTGTCTTTGTAAATTCCTATGCCTTGCAACTTTTAATCTTTAAAGGTTATAGTCCATATTATTTTACTTTTTGGTTTTTTTGTTTTTGTTTTGTTTTGTTTTGTTTTGGTCTTTTTGAGACAGGGTCTCACTATACAGTTCAGGCTGGCTTTGAACTCACTGTGTAACGCAGGCTGGTCTCAAACTCACAACAATCCTCCTGCCTCAGCCTGCAGAGTACTGGGATTATAGGGGTGTGCCAACACACCCGGCAATAGTCCATATTATTTACAAATGATCAGAGACTGAGGGATCAAATTAATAGAGGAGATACTTGCAAATAAGGAATTGTTCCTTGAAAAGTTGTTCCTTCAGACTCTGTAGTACAGATGTGCTTCTCCATAGAGGAAGACAGAAGTAGAGAACTCCTGCTCTCAAAATCTGCACAACTTTCAAAAGTTTCTTGCAAACACAATGCAGTTGGTGGCCATTAACAATCAGGTGCAATATGGTATTTTTAAAAGGGTAATCCCAACCTTCTTAACTTCCAAATTATAAGTAAAGACTAGAAATTGGAAGGATTTACTAAAGGAAATACTGTCCTACAGCAGATTTTACATTGTGGCAACTTTGAACTGGAAGCCTAATTGTGTATGTAGTTCAGTATTACTTACTGCTGAAAATTACTACTGACCAGAAAGATGGAAGAAGGCACTCTACATGGAGAGACCACGAAGGTATTGCCTGATGTTCTTCTTGGTCTACTTGCAGTTACTTTGCTTTGCTGGCTATTATTTAGTTTATTTATCTAGGCTTCATAAGTGCATCCACTAATTTTTTTCCTTATTCTAAATAAATATTTACTTATGAATTCAAATACAGGAGTGAAAATCCCTTGGAGAGTTTCTTTCTTTTTCTTAAGGTGCTCAAGTCTGAATTCCTATGTGCTGGTATAGCACTGATTAAGAGTCACCACAGATAACCAAACTGCGGTAACTTAAAAGTAATTGTATAGTCTGGAGAAGGAAATTCAATATACCAATGTGATCATCCAAGCCCAAGTGGAGAAAGTTCACTTAATAGTGTTGATACATGTTATGAATGTACAAGTCTTGTTTTGGTTATAATATTCTTCCCAACCTAGACTGCCTTCTTGTCTACATTTCACTTAGTAATGTCCATAATTTTCTTTCTTTCCTTTTTCTCCTTTTTTTTCTCTCTCTTTCTTTCTTTTTTCTTTTTCTTTCTTTCTTTCTTTCTTTCTTTCTTTCTTTCTTTCTTTCTTTCTTTGTTTCTTTCCTTCCTTCCTTCTTTCTCTCTCTGTCTTTCTATTGCTCTCTTTCTCTGTCTGTGTCTCTGTCTCTCTCTGTCCTTCTGTCTCTCTGTGTCTCTCTGTCTCTATCTCCACCTCCATCCATCTCTGTCCCCCTCTCTCTCTTTCCCATTCTCTGCATGGGAATGGTACTAGGGATTGGACTCAGGAATAAGTTGCCAGTGAGCTACATCTTCCATTTGACCTTGAATTTGAGGTTCTCCTCTTTGACCTCCAAGAGTTCTGGGATTACAAGATTCTTCAGAGAGAAAAAAAAAATGATCTAAGACTGAGTCTCTTATTCTTCAGTCAAGACATTCAGAGATTTTATTGGTAGCCATTATAGAATTTAGAAAATTATGGATACCATTGTGATGCTTTGTGTTAATCAGTACTTCTTTTTCTTGTAGAGGAAATTTACAGTTTTTAAGTCTTGAGGAAAACTCCAAAAATATGCCCAAGGCTTTAAATTTCAGTGTTTATCTACTATTCTGAGTGCCTTGTATGGCTGTGTAGATCATATAGCATTCTATTCTGCTTATGCTTCCCATTGACTATAACGGATTCATCTAAAACTCAGTGGAAAATAGATCCTTCACTGCTTGAATTTTGATTAAAATGAATAATAAATAAATATATAAAGAAGATTATTGAGAACACACCATTTTACAGAAATAGGAAATATTAATTTTCCACTCACGCAGATGATAAATAGCAGAGATGTGATGTGTGTTCATGTAATTAATCCCAGAGCCTAAGTCTGTATT